TCCTGCATTCTCCCCAGAGGTGATGGGGGCTGGAAAGGAGGGGGAATTCCAGTTTGGGGGGTTCATTGTTGTTTTAATTCTCCTGAACACAGCCTAAAGCAGCTGACCCGAAAGCGGGGTAAGGCACTGCACACCCAAGCCCCCTGACATCTAAAGGTCAGGTGAAAGTCTCCAGCAGGTAAGTCGCGGGCCGGCTGCCTGCCCAGCTTACTTGCTCTTTGGCTCTCAGATTGTTCCCTTCTGCCCACCCAAGTCGTCTCAAGCTGTGTTTACTTAGGGGGCAAAAAAAAAAAAAAAAAAAAAAAAAAAAGAATTGCCGACCACCCAATTCCCATTCAGCCGGAGAGCTTGTGAGCTCTCACCGGTAGCTCGGGCCACCTTCCCCACCACCCCACTTCTTTTTAATATTGTTACTATTTTGCTATTAAACACGTATACAAAGTAAGGCACCAAGTTACGGCCTAAAAGGTCGCTGTTGCGTGCATAAGACGCGTTTGCTTAGAGGGCAAGAGAGAGACCCCCGTGAACAGCCTGCTGGCCCAAGGGAGGGAGGGAGCCTTTGATTATTGCCTCCCCAGTCCGCGCCGCACAGAGCGCCGGCGGGCTGGCGAAGAAGCCGAGGCCGGGTTGGGACGAAAACGAGACCCTGGGACCGCAGGGGCTTCCCGCGGGGCTGCGCCACCGTCTCCCCTCACACCGCAGCACCCCGACGGTCCCATTCGGCCGCACCCGGCCACCCCCCCGCCGGGTACCCGGCAAATACCACCTCCGTGGCCGCTTCCCAGATCTCCGGACCCCAGCAGCGTTCCCACCAAACTAAACGAGAAGAGTCGTTAGTTTGGGGCTCTCGGTGTCACTTGCAGCTATTGCCGCCGGATCAGCGGGAGCGACCCTCGGGGGAGTCGGAGCTGGCCTTTCGCGTCTCTCAAGCAGGCTTTTTAGGACCCCTTCTTGCGAAATGAGGGGGTTCCACTCTTCTCACTAAACCACCGTCCCGTTTGCTACCTCTGTCTGCACGGCCAGCCCCTGGACTAGATAGAAGGGGACCAGCCTGTTGGCCACAGGTGCGTGTGTAAAGTTGTAAGGAGAGTACACGCAGCATTGCTGCCGAGGGGTCTCCGGTGCCCGTCTCGGCCCCGCAGAGCCTGCCCCCACTCCGCCGGTGAGGCTATTGTTTAGTTCAATTAGGCTCCGCTTGATAAAAAACAATCGCTCATTAACCCTCGCCCTCCTCCCTCCCGGCTGGTGTGCTGTGAATGGCGACATCGTCTCCCTTGACCCCAGTCTCCCTTTTCTGTCTTTCTGTCCCCTGAAAAATGATTCCGCAAGCTCTGATTGAATTTTATTCCTTCCTGACCTGGCCCGTTTTTATTGCATGGGCACCATCAATCTTGACCTAACGCGACGTTTGTTTATTACTTTGGAAAGAAGCGAATGGCTTTATGAGCCCCAGCGTAATTAAACCAGGAGGGCTACGCTTACCGCGGCACCGCCACCACCTTCGGGGCGGATTCACCACACAGACAAGCCGCCGGGGAGGCGAGGCATGAGAATGAGGATATGAAAGAACACAAAAAAATCAATAAATGGAAAAACCACCTCACGCGGGAAGCTTAAATGGGACCTTCCGAGCCCGAGAGCTCGTGTGTGCGATGCCGCTGGATCGAAACCCGTGCAGATCCCCGGGGAGTACCGAGCAGCTCCCTTACTTTAGGGCCGCTATTTAGAGTTAGCGCAGCTCTTGCGCAGCTTGCCGCGTAAACCTGTGCGCGACCTCCGCGCTGCCCCGGCTGAGCGCCTGGGCGTGCCACCTGCGCTTCCGCACAGCGGAAGCCCACCCTCGACGGCGCCCACCGCCGCACTCCTCATACCTACTCTGCCCGAAAAAAACACTCGCGCGCCTTAAAATGATGGAAGCATTTAGCCAACGTGACCAGCCCCAACACTGGGAACCGGTGAAACGCGCACTGACCACGCCGAGGGGCTTGAATTACTTTACAAGCGAAATTAATTGAAAGCTAATGTGCAATTAGCGGTTGCTGTTGAAATGGTTGATTTCGGGAAGAGGATGGGGGAGCGTTTCTAGGAGCCGCAGCGCTTCTGGACTAGCCTGGCCGCAGAGCGGCCACGTGCGTGCATCGGCGCTGCACGCTTTTGCCTACGCAATCAAGACGATATAATACAGAGTGCGCACTGTTACCTCACGCTCACCTCCACGTGGGCGCCAAGGGGGTCTCAGCCCCCGGCCGTGCGCAGCCGCTTCTTGCTGCGCGGCACACCGGCCTTGGCATACGCAAATTGCTGCTCACCCGCACCGCGCAAGGAAAGCCTCCCCCTTCTCCTCGAACCCAAAGCGGAGCTTCAAGCTCGCCCTGCTCCAGCAAGGTACTTTTGAGGGAGGTGAGCGTGCTGCCGCAGCACAGCCGGCTGGTCAATAGGTGTAACCCCAGGGTTACCAGTAGCGTTACAAAATTAAGCCCGACTATGAAAATATTCCCGTTTTAACTTCGAAGCTCCTTTCCCCAACTTCGTGGCTGTCAGAAAGAGCCCCAGTTCTGTAAAGCGCCAGTATGGTAACATTCCCGTATGTCCCCGTGCACCACACAGCACCACCACATTCCCTATCAGACCTGGCCTGTGGAGGTAGGGAATGGGGTTTAACCTATGAACTCTTAAACTATTTGCATGCACTTCTCTGCTATTTTTGGTCATGACCTTTGCATAATATAATATGAACTGTAACTGCTTTAATAAATTTTGGGGAGGAAACTTAAAAGGGAGGATACTACTATTCACGTTTTCCTTAGTTTGAGAGATGAGCAAACACAAGAAACCACCGGAACCAGCTAAATGGAACTGACCCTCAAATTAATTATTTTTTATAAAGTGATGCGGTTTTGTTTGGGTTTTTTTTTCCTAGACGAAAAGCAAAGCAATAGTTTGGGGGTGGGAAATCAGCTTGACCTAAAAATACAATACAAAGCACCGTGCTAACCTGGCACCTACTGGGCTGCTCCGCAGGCCAGGCTGGGGCCAGGCGTCCCCGCTCGCTGTAGGGGCTGCCACCAAAGACGCCGTGGCCTGATGGAGGCACCTTCCAGCTGCTGCGGGGCCACGTCCTGCGCCCACCGGCTCCGCTCACGGTCGGACCGCGTCTCCTTTGGCGTTCGGGGCAGGCCCAGTTCTGCTGGGAGACAATCACAGGTCAGAACGGACACTCGAATTTGCCTCCTGCTCTTAAGGGAAGGCAAGTGCAAGGGGGACAAGGGACCGTGCCCGGCGCTGCACCCCGATGTCCGCAGTTCGTGCCTTACACACAGGAGCGCTGCCCTCAGGCAGATGCCCCGCTCCGCACCCGTCCCGGTGTGCTGCCGTAGTCCAGGGCCCGTCAGGCCTTTCCCCCCACCTTCAGCAGCAGCAAAGATTCATGCCGGAGGCCGGGGCCGGGGCTCGGCCCCGGCCCCCTTTACGCAGCGCCGCGCAGGGACCCCGCGGCATTGCCCTGAGCGCCGCGCTCACCAGGCCGCCTTCTGCTGCCAAGCCCGCACGATTCACTGCCTACCGGGGGGGGGGACTCTCAGCATGGCTAAGCTTGTTTTCGTTACGAACAATTTCTGTGTGGATGGGGAGAAAAAAAGTTTGTAATAATACAGTAATTTATTTAAAACCCAAGCACGCGTTGTGGTGAGCCAGCCCGTCGCACTGAGAACCGGGAGGTGACCTAAGCCACCACCACGCACGTCACTTCAGGAAAGGGATCTCCTCCGGAGGCAGAAGATCCCCCCACGACCTACCTGCGGCCGAACAGGGCATTTCCGTTTGCCCTTTCCTTGGCTGCGAGCCCCCTCCAGCCGGGTGCCCCTTTTGCAGCGAGGGCCGCAGGGAGCGCAAATTACGCGGCCACCCCGCCGTGCTGGGACTGCGGAGGGCAGCGGGCAGCTCCGATGCGGCCGGGACATCAGCAGTAATTACCCAGGGCACTTGTTGGAGCTCCACATGGCCCCTCCAAGTCCTCAAAGCGAGCAGCACCACTGCCAATGCAATGTGTGATTAAACAAGCTGAGGTGGTGAACAACTGCTTTCCCTCTTACTGATTTTCTGAGAAAAACCTAAAGACAGGAAAGCCGGCGCCTCATCGCAACGAAAAATAATAGGCAAATAACACATGCGGTCCCTCTCCCTTCTTTAATTTGTACTTTAAATACCGGGCGAAGAGGAGGAGGGAATGCCGTTAGCACTTAGCAAGCACCTCGCTGGCAGAGCCGGGGTCCAAAGGAGCAGCCGCCGGGCCCCCCCCCTTCCTGAGGACGGGGAGTGAAGAAGCCAGGCGGCGAGAGCCCCGCCGGGCCCTGGGCCCGGTAGTCCCGGCCACAGGCAGAGGGGAGGCGGGAGCCGCCAGCCCGACCCGCCCAGTGCCGGGAGATGGGCTGTTGGAACAGAAGGTGAGCCCGAACGGGAATAGATGACACTGTGTTTCCCTTTATTGGTGAGAAACTGGGAGCAGCGATCAAAGCGTGCCCCCGGAGCGAAGGCGACCAGCTCCGGTCGTCCTTCACTTCAGCCTCACCGTAACCGGATGATTGAGTTCCCCTCACCCAACTTAGCAAACAAGTAAATATAAATAAGGCCGGTAATCTTAATAGAGGTACTAGCGCAAAAAAAGAGCAAAGTCTATGCGATACTGAAATAAGGATATTTTAAGCCAACATAAAAAAATAACTTCTCACACCCCTCCAGTTCACTCGATCTGCTGAAAGTGTTTTCTGAATGTTACTGTTTTGGAGGGGAAGAGTAGCTCAAAAGCGAGGTAATAAGGTTTAACTGTAAATACCTTTGTATTTATTTACAGTGTAACCCTTAACAATGCAACAGCAATTACCGCTAAGTGTTGCTTTTAGATAAGAGATACTGATAGGAAACTATTATCTTGAAAGCAAACTTTAGGCCTTAAATATCTGTAATCAAATAATCTTCTTCCCAAGTCTGACTGACAAGGCAGGTTCTTTCAAGTTAATGAATTTATTGCATTTTGGTGGTTATTTACAAAGGGGGAAGGTGATCCCCATTGCCCGTAGGTTCTTAATTGCAAATTGTCCAGGAGGTGAGATTCTTGATCTGACAAGACGTCAGTCTGTGCAGCACTCATCTGCTACCCTGGTAATATTTTCCTTTTTCCCTCCAATTTCAGAAAAAAAAAAAAAAGGTGAGGGATTAAGACCAAAATAATAATAAACAAAAAAAAAAGCAAAACGAACAAACAAAACTGTACAAGAAATACGAAGAATTCTCCCACACAACCTCTTTCTAAAATAATTTCAGCTCCAGCAATCAGGGCACTTCCAACAGACCAGTAATGTCCTTATAGGACAGGAGTAAAGCAGAGCTATAATGGTGTGAGGGTAAACTGTATGAGCAGGTTCCTATCCTGAAATAAAATAGTTCTTAAAAAACATCTGTTACAGAAGCGGCTTCACGGATGTGACTGTGCGCATTGCTATCGATTCTAGGAAGCAGTGATTTATACGCTTACATTGCATTTAAGAATATACGTACTGTATCTGCCATCTACTATACACTGTGGAGTTTAGAAACATATGCAACGCCTATACGTAGCTATAAATAAATATGCAATCCTTCTTTAAATATAGATAACATATGTAAATCTTACATATAAATACATTTGAAATACACAGAGATCGATAGCTCGATATATACACAGTTATTACACAAGGGCAGGAAGGTAGTGCATGTACTTCTACCTAGGAGTTACCGCTTCATCTAGCCTTACACAGGCGTATTATTTAAAAAGCCGTAATGTTGTCATACTACTGTGCATGGTCAAATGTTTCCAGGTCTTGCCCATTAATTGCTAAGAAAACGTGTTTGTTTATTTGCCAACTCAGAGCTGCCATGGGAAAGTCTTTTTTTCCTAGCGGATAAGGCGAGCTGACTAAGTGGAACATATTGCAGAAGAGACTGAAAAGGGATTTTTCGACCTGGCAGTTCCTAAATGGTCTTTGGAATTTGTGCGGAGGGGAACGAGCTGTTCCAGAGACAAAGTTAGTTATAAAATCCCTTTTCCCTCTCTTTCTGTCTCTGCCTCTGTCTAAATGAAATTATTAAAATATACAGACGTGTAAAGGATCATTCCAACTGAATGGTAATTTATTAATAAACAAACAATGCAATACCTTCAGAATATTTTCAACAAAAAAAGGAAAAATATTGATAGAATAAGATTAATACAGTTTCCCTTTTTATATATAGTGAAAAAAAAAAATCAGCGTTTCAGTCAATTTTAAAGTCACTTTTCATGGAAGGGGGAAACACTTTCTGGCGTTTGGTCCGCAACATCCAACTACAAATTAAAAATAAATTACTATGTCGCAATTTACATTTTAAAACAAGTCCTTGTAGAAGAGGAAGGGGGGGGGGGAGTTGGTACTCTACGCTGGACTTTTCGCCCCCTTTTAAACACGGGGCATGGCAATACCTTAATAGATGGAGAAGGGGAAGGGGTGCGGGAAAAAAGTACTTCTCAAAGCAATTAAAAAAACAAAACAAACAAAACTTACGTGTTATTGGAGTAACACTGTCCTTTAACAAACCAAGACATGATTTGGGGCTGCCTCTGTACAAAAGCTTTTCTCGTTCTCCCGCTTCCCTCTGCGGGCGCGGCGGGGCCGGGCGGCGCGGTGCTGCGCGCAATCCACGCGGTCTTCCCGTGGCGGGGCCCGCTCAGAACTTGCCGCAGTCGTAGACGAAGGCCCCGGAGGTGCGGTAGAGCGGCTGGCTGCCCGGGAAGGCCATTTGACAGCTGCCGCCGCCCCCTGCCCCGCCGCCGCCGCCGCCCCCCGCCCCACCGCCACCGCCGCCGCCGCCGCCCGGCGAGGCGCTGAGGCCCAGCCGCGGCGCCTCGAAGACCTCCCGCGGGGCGGCGGCGAAGCCCTGCTGCGGCCCCGCGTAGCCCGCCGCGCCCGCCAGCGGGCCCAGCTCCCCTGCCGCCGCCGCCGCTGCCGCCGCCGCTGCCGCCGCCTGGTTGAGGTACCAGGAGGCCAGGCGGCCCTGGTGCGGGTGCGGGTGGTGCCCCTCCTGGTGGCCGCCCGCCGCGCCGCCCAGCCCGCCGTGCCCCAGCGCCCCGCCACCGCCGCTGCCCCCCGCCCCGCCGCCGCCGCCGCCGCCCGTGGGCATAGCATAATCGGGTAGCGGGTCCTCGGCGGGGCTGGCGGCGGAGGCGGGCAGGTGGCCGGGTCGGTCGGAGGCTCCCGCCGCCGCGTAAAGGCTCATGGCCTGCATGTTGCAGTGGTAGGTGCCGGTGGCGGCGCCGGCGGCAGCCTGACCGCAGGGCGAGCCGTAGACTGAGCTGTGGCCCGGCGAGTAGCCGCCGAGGGAGAGGGCGGGCGGGATGCCGGTGCGCGGGGCGGCTGCGGCGGGGGCCAGGAGGCCGGCGCCCAGCTCAGAGGAGGCCTGCGGCGAGCCTCGTAGCGAGGTCATGATGTTGTCCACGCTGAAGCCCGGGCCGTGGTGGTGGGGCGGCGGAGGCGGCGGCGGCGGCGGCGGCTCGGGGGCCTCCAGGCTGAGGGAGCGGCTAGAGGGGAGGGTGCTGCGAGGGCTGCCGCCGCTGGAGAGGCTGCTGCTGCTGTCGGGGCTCTCGATCTTGGGCACGGCGCCGAGCGGCGGCGCGGCGCCGGGGGGGGACACGGCCTGCGGCGGCGAGGCCGTACCGTTCTCCGTCTTGATGTCCTGGATGCGGACGGGGGGCGGCGGCGGCGCGGCGCTGCCTCCGGCGGGGCCGCCCTCGGGCTCGGCGGCGGGCGGCGGCGGGCGCGGCGGGGCATGGTCCTTGAGGTGCAGGCGGTCCTTCTCCTCCTTGTCCTTGACGGCGTCCTTCTTCTTGAAACGGCGGCGACGGCGAAGGAAGCTGCCGTTCTCGAACATGTTGTAGGAGTCGGGGTCGAGGGTCCAGTAGCTGCCCTTACCGGGCTTCTTGTCGTCTCGGGGCACCTTGACGAAGCACTCATTGAGGGAGAGGTTGTGGCGGATGCTGTTCTGCCAGCCCTGCTTGTTGTCCCGGTAGAAAGGGAACCGCTCCATGATGAACTGGTAGATCCCGTTCAAGGTGATCTTCTTATCGGGAGCGTTCTGGATGGCCATGGTGATGAGGGCGATGTAGCTGTACGGCGGCTTCACCATATCCTTGGGCTGCGGCGGAGGCGTGTAGGGCCCGTAGGCGCGGGCCATGCCGGCCGGGTACTGCTCGTGGGCCGGGTGGGAGTACATGCTCATCGGGGCCGGCATGGCCGTATAGCCCCCGCCGGCCGCCGCTGCGGCGGCGCGGTAGTAACTCTGCTCTCCGCCGAGGTACGGCACCACTCCCAGGGAGTTGGGGCTGGACACGGAGTAGCGAGCCTGCATGTCCTCCCGTCAGTTTTCCCCCACCCTCCCCGCCGGACCAAACAGCGCGTCCCTTCCCCCTCCACCCCTCCGCCGCTCCGCGGACCGAGCTGGACCGGGCGGCCGGGCAACCCCCACCCCCCCACCCCCCCGGCGGAGCGCGGAAAAAGGGAGGAAGAATAACGACGGCAGCGCCGAACGTCTCCTCTTTTTCGCCCGGGAAAGCCCACCGGCAGCTCCCGCACTCCGCGCGGAGGGGGGAAAAAAGTCAAAAAAGGGGGGGAAAAAGGAGGGGGGAGGAAAAGGGGAAAAAATGGTTTTTAAAAGAAATCGGGTAAAAAAAAAAAGTAATCGCAGCGAAGAAAGCAACTTCCAAACGCAGAAAGAGTATTAAGAAAATAAAACCTTTGCAAAGAGGCTCCCACGCTCCCAGTTCCTTGTTCCACGGGGATCTGCAACAAGTTGTCTGCAAAGGAGGGACAAAAGTAGAGGGATATGTTTTGTTGGCTTTTTTTAAGCGAGCAGAAGAAGAAAAAATCCACCTTCCCGGTCTCCCAGCGCAAAGTCTCCCTCTCTCTCTCCCTCTCGCTTTTTTTCAGTCTCTTTTTCAGTCGCAGGCTGCTTTGGGAAGCATCGGAAAAACTCCTGAACTTTTGAGCATCCGTCACCACGGCGAGAACTTTTTTACGCACTTACAGTTTTCTCCCCCTTTTTTTTTTCCCTCCCTCTCCTCTCTCGGTCTCCTTTTTTTTTTTTATTTTTTTTTTTCCTCCCTTTTTTTTTTTCTTTTCCTCCTTTTGCAGGCGCCTCAGCTCCGCCCCACCGAGCCGGGCGGCCAATGAGGGCCGGGAGACACCCGGGGCTCTGAATGAGGAGGGAAAAAAAAAAAGAGGAGCGAGCGAGAAAAAAAATAAAAAGAGTAAAAAAGAAGGAGGGGAAAAAAATTCCCCGCCGCAGCCCTGGGAGTTGCAGCTCTCGGGGACCGGCCACACACGCTCGCCGGCACACGCGGGCGCCTTGAGCGGAGGGTGCCCGCATGTTGTGCGCGCCGACCCGCGCAAGTCTTACAGCCCCGTGCCCGCCCGCCCACTCGTGTCCTTACTCGCGCGGTCACCCTTGTACACGCGTCCTGGGCACACTCACGACATGCATGCCTGCACCAGTGTGTGTATATCTATCTGTATCTACATGCGCATATATATTTATATATATATATATATATACACACACACAAGTACGTACCTATATACATGTACGTATATGCTCTCCCGGAGCTCTTCCCACCCACGCGCCCACGCCGCGCTCTGCCACGCGTGTTGCTCACGCACTTTTTACTTATGTTTGTTCTCTTTCCCCCCATCGTTGGTCTGTTTTCTCCGGCCGGGCTCTCTCCTTTCTTCCCTTTCCGTCCCCTTCCCTCCCCTCCCGGCTGCCGCCGGTGTCGGCGGGCAGGCTCCACGCCGATGTGCCGGCTCTGTCCTCGCCTTGCCGGACCAGGGAATATGTATGTGTATGTGTGTGTGTGTACTTGCGGGGTGGGATGCCCCTGCCCCAGCAGCACCACCCTGCCTGCAGCCAGCTGCCTGCCTGCCCAAACGCCTCTGAAGAGATTGCATTCCTCTGGTTGACAAGGTTTTGACGAGTCCTCCAAAGCTCCTTTTTATTAATAAGGCACAGCGAGAGCTTCCCCCCACCATGCGCCTGCAAAACGGGCGACCGCTGCCCCCGCTGTTCGTCAACGCGGGTGCGGTCCTTTGCACGGGGTCTTTAGCTCGCTTCTTCAGGTAGTCTCTACTAGACCTGGTGGGATGTGATACGGAAAAGCGGGTACTTGTTTTATTAATTCATTTGTTTATTTGAGATGGAGAGGGAAAATACTTCTGTTCTTAATCTGCCTCACAGTGAACTCCGTGATATGTCAGGTGTGTCAAAAGAAAAAAAAAAAAAAAGGAAGGAAAAAAGTCCAATGATATGAATGTTTCTTAAACTGGCTGGTTCTGCTATGAAGAATTTATTTGCATTGCTGTTGCCTTTACCTAAACATCTGGAAGAATGTTTGAGCTCTAATCAGAATTATGCTTTAACGGGAGCTCAAAGGTAGCAGAGAGTGAGGGTTTGGTTATTTGTTTTAAAAATTTTCCTTCAAATTTGCTGTTACATTTTGAGAAAGATTTTTTTCCCCCCATACTTTAAACACGGAGGGGTTGGGATACACATTTGCACAGCAGTGTATTTGACCAGTACTTCTGATATCCAAAATACAGCCTAGTGCTCCTCATTCATTTCGTAGCTGATACCTCTGAAGCTCCATTAGCGTTAATAACATCCCGGTTGAAAAGAACATGCTAAAATCTATTTTAAGGGGTGAAATTTGTACGGGAAAGACTTGTGTGTGTTTGTGAAATGAATTGCCCACCCTGATCTTGCGACACTACAAATATGTGAAAAGACCCTTTTGGCTTCATTGATTTCAAACCCCCTTTCCACACTTTTCACTGTGATCGATGACTTTGGGGATCGTGTCACTGGAACGTGTTAAAGGCGCATCTTTTGCTTGGTGGTATTTTAGCAGGTATGGCTTTTGCTCTGCAACACCAATCCATGGGTTATTAAAAAAAAAAAACAACAAACTATTTTAAATGAGATGCGAGTAATGCGAAGGAGGTAATTTATATAGCCTAGTATCTGCTCCTTTTCATATCCAAACATAACTGGTCTCTTTTTGGTAATAAATGTCAATCCTTTAATGGTGAATACATTATCCCGTTTAGCCCGTTGTATTTCATCATCTGGAATCTTTCACCTGCTCCTGCCTAATTACACGTTTTTCCTTTTCCTCCCACCACGGCAGAATTAATCAGTGTGCAAGCACTGAACTGGATGTCAGTTCCAACACTTTATATTTTCAAAAACCTCTTTCTTGCTTTGCTGAAAAGAAGGGAGGAAAATGTAAAAGAAAGGAGGCATTTTAGCACGTTTCAATGTAGCCCAGGTCATCCTGTTTTCCCACGGTGTTACCTGCCGTAAAAAACAGCTCCTGTGGGCTGCCTGCTCGCTCTGGGACGCGGAGCCTTTACCGACTTTTTCATTTAATCTGGAGAACAGCGAAGCTGTTTCTCGGGCAGAGGCTGGAGCCACACCGAGAAGTTTCAGCACAGTGAAGGGGGAGGGAGGGGGGCATTAATCCGCTGTGTTCTGCATCTAATATATTTTGTAATAGCCACTCTGATGCTGTAATTGCGAACTGACGCAACTAACGTGTGTTGAGTTACATACCTCAAACCAGCAGGACCCTGGTTTCTCTCGTCGAGGCACAAAAGTCACCATTGTGAAGGTTCACAGAGTGATCTGGGGTTTGTGTGTGTGCGTGGTGAGGGGAAACAACGGATTCAGGGGGGCGGGAAGATCAAGTTCTCCCCCTCGGTGTGTTTGGATACCACCCAGAAAGGGCCCTCAGCGCTGGGGTGTCACCCGCCCGGTGGCCCGACGAAGCCGCCGGTCCTCCTCGCCTTTGCCCCTTTCCTGAGCCCGGCCTCCGAAAGAGAGAGCCGCCTTGAGTTGACTCGCTCGGGTCTGCCGCCGGAACGGAGAAGGACGGCGGAAGCCGCAGCCACCGTGGCCCCCCACCCCTTCCCTGCGGACCCCCGGGCACCGGCCACGGCCCGAGGCCAGGCGAGAGGCGCTGGCGGCGGGGTGGGAGCCTCGGCGGCAGCGCCGGTACAGGGAAGCCGCGCTTTCCTTGAAACCCTCTGAGGCTTCGCGTGTGTGGTCATTTGCAACCTTATTTACGGAGATGTCAGAAAGAAAGATGACATCGGAGCGGTAGGAGCAGGGGCTACCATTTGACCTGGGCAAAGCCCAGGTGAACCCACACAATTCGCTGCGGGTTGCCCTCTTCTCTCCTCTCAAAGACCTGGAGGTGAACTGCTTTCCAAACTGTTTATGTTTAGACGTAGTCAGAGCTTCGCTTCTCTCCCTCTCTTTTGGCTCCAACATCACAGCAGTGTCCCTGTAACTCTGAAACCAGCCACCCAGCCCGCCTCTTGCATCTCAGGATGCAGCTTTCCATGTTCCTTAAACAGCGGGCAACACCGCAGGAGAAAACCGCTGACATCCTTTCGGGGGGCAGGGAGGGAAGTGAGCGCATCAAATCTGTGCTTCGCTAGTAGAAAAACCTATTGTGCCGAAAGTCCCCTCTCTGTTTACAGCCGCTGGACATAGGTGACAGCCCTCCCTCCTTCCCTGTTTCCCTCCCGTACTCTCAGCCAACACCTCAGCCTGTACAATTAAGCCGAGCTCTAAATGCAAGGTCTGTTTGCGTGGCACTCAGTTAAGCCAACAGGCGTGATTATTTATTTACGTGGGTTAACAATTCCATAAATAAGCCGAGGTAGTTTTCCAATCTAGGGCGTCTTTTATCTTCAGATAACACAGTACGAAAATGAGAGCTCCATTCCCTTTGGCATCTTTTAGGCTGTAGGTCTTGAATGAGAATTAAATTATCCTTTGCAGTAAAATACGGCAGCGGTCACCGACTTCGTCTAACTCGCAAGAGAAATGCCTTAATTTCACATTCGGTATCTAAAAGCGAATTTTGCGTTTCATGTACAAGGGAGGACCGAGACCATAAAGAGGTCGGAGCCCGCGCGTTTCGTCTTCCCGTGATAATCACTGCGGTTGTGCCTACGGCTTGTCTCGGTGACACAGGTTGCGTCCCAGAGATGTCGCGGCACCAGGATTAAAATCAGAAATCAGGCTATAGGAAACTATTTGTGTTGTTTCTGTTATTCAGGTAGAGTACTATCACACACACATGCACACAGAAAAATCCCGCAAGCGCGTAAGAAACCTTCAATTTGGCAGATCCTCTAGCTTTGGCATCTCACAGTAGAATACTAACATCTGGGGGGCTGGGGATGTTAAAAACTCACTCTTAAACCGACAAGAAGACAGCCAGACGTGAATTTTTTTTCTTCTTTTTATTTTACTTTCCAAGGTCCCTTGTCCCTTTTGTGTTCCTTTTCCTCCCTGATTTCCTTCCTTTCCCTGGGAGGGGCAGCGAGGGCGGAGGGGGGCTGAATCCACTGGATACTCTGGATTCATATAAATGAAAACACACACGGAGCAATGAATCTGGGAGCGTGAACCTTTGCAGCCCTATCCTGCTCCATCTCCATCTCTTGCCTTAGAAGACGGGAGGAGAGAGAGAGACTTATTTGTATAAAGGGTTTATTTACATTAGAATGAAGCGACAGTTCCTAGTCTGGGAAGTGATAAGTACTTGGCAAGTCATTAGGTAGCAGATAGAGATCAGCCCCTGGATACATTATTCCCTGCCTTTTGTATACTCGTTTTTGAGGGCCGAGAGGTTTTTCGGGAGGGTGTGCGGCAGAGGCGGGGGTACGGGACAGGGGTTGGCCGTGAGGGCGCGCAGCCCTGCGGAGGGCTGCCACTGAGCGCTGTCCCGCTGCGGACGGCCCTTGGTGGAGGAGAATCGAAAGACCCCCGTCCTCTGCGCAGAGCTGGGAGAGGAAGCCCCTCCCGGCCCTCAAGCCTCCGGGGCCCGAGCTGGACAGCAGACAGGGAAAGGAAGCCACAAATCCGTTTCCCCCCAACCACCGGGAAAGGGGCGACGATATCGTCGCGCACAGCACCGCTCCGCACCCGCGCTTGGCGGCCACCTGCGAGGCAGAAGGGCTCTGCGCGGGCTGCGGGCGCCCCCTCCCGGGCCACCCTTGCCACTGCCGCCCGCTCAGCGCCGTTCGGCTCTTCTGCGCTCCCCGGGTTCCGCCGCGCGTAGCATGGCTGCTCCCCGGCGGAGCCGCCGCTGCCTCCCCTCAAGGGGAAAAGGGGGTTAAAACCCACCCAGACCCGTCCCGCCGCCTCTTCGCTGCCGG